TGTGAGGAAGGAAAACAAGAAAAACAGACAGAGTTGAAAGAATTATTGCAGAAGAAAACTTCTGTGAGAACACTTTGCTGAACAAGATCTGCTTCTATATGTAAAAAAAAAAAAATCACTTCAAAGCTAAGGCTGACATACTTTGCCTTTTAAGAGACTGCATCTGTATCTTCAATATGCAGCATCAGTTTCAATACAGCTGCTTTAAAAACAGTTCCTAGTCAGCTTGGCAGCATGTGACTGCATCGAGAAGTTATTTCAGAGGAACTTTGCCATGCCTGTGTGGCTGCCACAGTTACCAGGGCTTGCTTTGTTCATATTCAGTTTGAAATGGCTTTTCCTTCTAGGAATGGAAATACATAAACAGTCACCTAACATTTTAACAACATCCAAAGTCTTCAGCATAGCAATACTTGGCAGTTTTTCCTCCCCTCGCTGAATGCTGAATTTACACAAGAACCTTAAACTCCTGGGTGTTCTCTATATGATGTAAAAAGTTGATTTTGGATTCTTAGAGGAAATTTCCATTGAACATTCCCATATTTTTTCTTTTTGGATGAATAAAGCAACTGAAAGAACTGTTATATTTTAGAAATCCATTTATAAAAATAGATTGTTTCTTGGTAAGTCAGCAAAAGTTGTCAAATGCATGTACACACTTTGTATTTTTTACTTTAGGAATTTATTTTTAAATGACAGCTCGAAACTCTGCACGAAAAGTGACCTCATAGAGATTCTGAGATAATGGTCTTAATGATAGCATGATCATGGCAATAAAACCACAACTCCATTACATTCCCAGCATAAGCCTTTAAAGCTTTTATCTGTACAAATCCAAATTCCTTCTCTGACCTACCCCCTGGAGAAGCCTCTTTCTTCCCTCATCTTCCTCAACGGTTATGAAGAAGACCAGAGAGACAGGTCTTCTAGATTATGTTTCTGTAACTATGTGGTGTAGGTAGGTGCATGTTACAGATCTGCTATCAGATCTGCACTGTTTATTTCTAGAATAATGCTCTTATTCATTAAAGAGGTGGATTTTAAACTGAATAGTCACAGCGAGTAATGCAATTTTGAGTTTTAATTTTACAAACATATGTCAATTATCCAGACGAGCTTCAAACCAGTGAGTCAAGTTACTTAGCAGCTGGTTCTCTTGAGAAATGGTGCTAATCAGGCAGTCAGCTGGTCGGCCATGAGCATTTCTTCTACAATTGCAAAATACTGCTTCAGGATGAAAAACATCTCGCCTGAGCCACAGTGTCCTTCTATAACTGTAAGCACATCATGTGAGCCCGTACAGTCTTCTAAAAGGGAGTCACAGAAGATGATCTCATTTAATGATCCCATGAGACACCTATTTTTTAACTCGAAATTAATTTTCATTATTCCCTACCTGAAGACATAACTTGTGAGCCAGGAGCTTCAAACTCACTTTGCAGTGTAAAGAAATCTAACTGAATGTAAAAAAAACCTCACTGATTTAAACTGAATAATAAGATGTTGCCTTGCAACTTCCAGTGTGATGAATATGATCTGCAGCAACTGGGTAATTTTTAACTTATTTACCTATATAAACAAGTCTGTTTCTAATAGGATCTTTGTTTAACTATGGAACATTCCCTGAGCTGTGGGAAGAGACAGTAATAAAAATACTCTGAAGTAAAAAACATTCTGAAAGAAAAATGTTCACTTATCAGTAAAGACAGCATTTAGATATGAGTCAGCATAAACCAGATACACACAGTTCTTACAGATAAAACCTTTTTTTTTTTTAAGGTAGGATAAGAGCATACCTTTTCCTGAATTGTAACAACTGAAAAAGATCAACTAATAAAAAATATGAGAACATATAGACTGGACTAGATTTCATATCTTTTACTCCTTTTCTCCTTCTGTATGTTAAATTAAATGTGAGTTCAGCTCCTGGAGAGTGTCATTTATGAGGGATGCTGGTATGTAACGCTTAATGCTAAATGAGTCACAGTCTAGAATACAACTTCAAACCAAATTTAATTTATTTCTTTGCAAAGTTGGTTTTGGAATAATTTATAAAATGTTTTTCTTAGAAAAAAACCAACAGATCTCTCTAACAGAGCACAGTGGAAGATCACAAAGTATATTTATTTCTTAAGCAGCAAAGAGACTGTCAAAGGGGAAACTACAATCCTTTCCTCTGAGACCTCTGATGAACACTGGCATCAGCTGGGAAAATGAGAGCAAGTAGTGAGATAACGTGAACATAACAGTTGGGAATTTTACAGGGAAAAGTGACTTGGCAGGTGATATTTTGTTCTTAAGGAAAAAAATATTTATGAGATCCTTATTAGGCAGAAGAAGATTGTACATGTTTTTCAGCCACCTTTACTTAAACAAGTCATTAAAACACTTATTTGAAAGTAGTGAGGCAATTCAGTGGGACTAGAAATAAAACAGACTTTTATAAATATCTTATACATCTCCCCAGACAGTCAGTCATGTATATAAAGCACACATGCAGCTGGCGAAGCAGCAGACAGATGAATATAGCCAAGGCTGACTTCAGTAGCTCAAGAACACAAGTGAATACCAAAAGACACATCAGTTAAAAGATGGTAATATTGTTTTAAACACCGTTCATTCATTAGCAGCTCAACTGCAGTGAAAAACACAGTGTGAAATACCAGATTATGGAATGTCCTATAAAGCTATGTATTTTTTTAAGTTAAATGATAAGGGAAAGGAATTATCTAATGAGTATAATCTGCCTTGAATTTGCTCATTTTCAATACGGAAATGAATGCTTTTTTTTGGAAAAAAAAAATCAGACTTCATTCCAGTATTGGTAAATAAAATTATACTTTTAAAACCATACAAATATGAGGATGCCCAATGAGCACTTTGATCATCACTGTCACTGTTCAGAATAGCTAAATGTATCATCAGAAAGGAAGCTCGCTGCCCACGTGCCAGAATAACAAGCTTTTTAAAGCAGAACAGAGGAAAATCCACAGGGAACACAGAAAGTTAGTACAATGTTATTTATATGCACTGTTACTTCTATACTGTAGTCATTTGCTGAGTTGAGAAAGTTCAGCTTCATTTGCTGAGTTGAGAAAGTTCAGCTTGCTATTCCAAAGCCTGCACAATGTATGACTGCTATTATGCCTGGCTTTTGAAAGCTTTTTATATCATATTTGAAACTAAAAGGCAAATAAAATGTAAGCTTGTTATGGAATACATTAATGATTCAAACAAATCCATAAAGTTTTAAAGTTTACTCAATTTGCATTACAGGAGAGGCTAAAGTGTGACTTAGCTGCATGGTGGAGAACTCAAAAGTTCTTGTTTCCCAGTATATATGTGCTAACTGCATGTCTGTGGTGTAATTTGTTTCAAGTTAACTATACAGATCCATAATTTACTAGTGACAGAGCAATGTGAACTGGGGACTCTATTCTTATTATCTAGAGGTGAAAGATTTAGGGCAGCTTTCTAAGTCCTCTGCAGATAAAAATTCCACCAAATAAAAAAAAAAAAATTAGAAAAAAAAAAAAAAAAAGGAAAAAGTTGAAATGTTTCCTCTCCCTGTCCCTACCTCCCAAATCAGTTTTTCCCCCCCATGTCTTGAGTGTGCTTAGGCTCAGACTGAAGAATGGAGTTCAGGAGTCTGAAAATCTCTAAAGGGGGCTGATGGGTTGTTTCAACTGCTGTTGCAAGCTGCGCCGCATCAGTTGCAGACTGACACTCAGCTGAACTGCTGTCTAATTTCACAGGGGTTTTTTTCTCCACAGATGTTCCACAGGTCTGAGGAAAAAGTGAAAAGTATATGCATGGGCAGAGCTGCTCCTTGTGCAATATCCTACACAGCAATGGATATCCAAACAAGGGGCAATGAGACCAGCTTAGGCAAAGACTTAATTTCCAGACACATTTAGCACTTCCTGGAAGGCCAATAAAATCACCATGGTGGTAAACTGTGATGGGAAAAAAAGGAGATGACTCCTCTTGCTAGGGGAGGCACCTAAAAGCCACAGATCATTAAACAGGTTTAAGTAAGCATTCTTGAGGTCTTTTTGAAATGTGGGAATTCTTGTCGGCCATATGATCCTGACTCATTCTGTCAGTCACAAGGCCAAAATGATTTTTACATTAACAACAACAAAACCCTGAAGCCATAATTCTTCTCCCTCAAATACCTCCTGC